TCTTGTTCAAAATAATCTATCTTATATGAAAGCTTATCAGCTTTCTACAGACTTTTATTTGTTTTGGCATATCACAATCACAATACACAACAATAATTAGTTTTTAAAGCTATTAATCTAAATTTAAAATGCATTTATAAATACAATTTATTAATATATATTATATTATGATCAAATTGTGTAAGAAATTAAAATGTAAACAAAATATCTTCTCTAAAAAACCGGCAACACGTTATACACTTTTACCACCCGCTCAACTGTCAATAATATTTAATATATTTCCGTATCAGTTGCGTACAATTGAATAATATATTTAATTAAAATTATTATTTTGTGGAATATGAGACTTCAAGAGTTATTTCATAAAATTTATATTATTAATAATAATAAATGTTTTTGGTTATTTAATCAATATAATTCTAAAATTTCCAATATAATGATTATATTTTTCTGATTATTACACCATGTTGACGCCTATGAAAGATCTAGCAGTTCCGTATGGGTTCCAAATGGAAGAAGATCATTGGGACGACCGAGGAAACAGACAACGTCAATTGAGGCTAAAAACCGAAGTAAGACACGCATTAAGCCTATTTATAAAAGAAGAAGAAGAAGTTAACATCAACAGAAAATAATTCAAGGCAACCACAAGACAATACAGAAGTCAGAATGGCGACCTATTAATAACAAGGAAAGATGTATTGAATAAATGGGTGGAATACTTTAACCAAGCACTTAATATAGAGGAAGTTGAAGAAAATCTGGAAGACGAAATAGATGAGGTAAGGGAAACAAACGAAAGGGAAGAGGAACCACCAAAAATTCTTGAAGTTAAAGATGCAGTTAACAAACTAGCCAGAAACAAATCACCCGGAATAGATAATCTCCCAGATGAACTAAGGTGGCCATGATACCATAATGGCATTACAGCAGCTTATAAAAGAAATATGGACACAGAAATCCCTCCCCAATGATTGGAATATTGGAATACTTTGCACCTTACAAAAAAAAGGAGATATCTTTGAATGCTCTAATCACAGAGGAATTACGCTTCTAAATGCAGCATATAAAATAATTTCCACAGTACTATGTCACCGAATGGCACCATATGCAGAACTGATAGTAGGAAAATACCAGGGTCGTTTCAGATGTGGTAAATCGACAATTCATCAGATTGCAACCCTGAAACAAATTGATGTTGCTGAACAAATATGGCATTGATACTCATCACATATTTATACACTACAAAGCAGCGTACGACTCTGTGAGTAGAAGAGAAATGTTTAAAACAATGAAAGAGCTAGGAATACCAAATCAGTTGGTAACTTTAACTAGTGTTGCCCAAAATCGGTCTTGGTCTTGCAGTCTTGGTCTTGTTCTTGCGTTTTTGCAAGACCAAGACCAAGACCGCCTAATTTTAGCAAGACCAAGACCAAGACCAAGACTGACCTTGCAAGACTTAAGCAAGAACAAGACTAAGCCTGCGAGACTCTTGCGTCTTGCAGTTAGGATTGAGTGTCGTTTTAGCGAATATAGTAGTTCGGGTATATGCTTAAAGACTCTATAAGACGCACAAAAATATGTAATAAAAATTTGAAAAACTGGACTTATGCGCATTACGAACAATACCATAAACATACATACTGAATCAAAATATTCATTAAAAAACACATTTGACACATGTTCAGAGGTCATAATTACAATGTAAAAATAAAATATTTTGTACATTCTTTCCCAGCAGACGACTTTTTCGCTCTGGAATTACTTGTCCAGATTTTGATAAAAGGAATCCAAGGAAGCAGCAGTGCTAAGAACGACGGTGGTCAACGACGACTGGACGCCTACCAAGATCAGGGAAGAACAAGAGAGAGATCCGGTTATACAGAAAATCCGAAAATGGGAAGAGGAAAACCGTCGACCACCTTGGCAAGAAATATCGAACCTAGGCTCAGTAGTTAAGACGTATTGGGCCCAGTGGGACTCATTTATCATGGAAGATGGCTTGCTCAAACGAGTCCTGGAAAATGATGACGGTTCAGAGAAGAGAAGACAGTTGGTGATTCCAAAGAGCAGAATAGCCGAAGTACTTCGTCAGTTACACGACAGTCCATCAGGAGGGCATTTTGGTGTGAAGAAGACCCTTCAGCGAATTCGGGAACGGTTTTATTGGATTAACAGTTCCGACGATATAAAAGACTGGTGTAAGAAATGTACTATTTGTGCTACGAGTAACGGGCCTTATCGAAAAAGGAGAGCTCCTATGAGACAATATAATGTTGGAAGCCCGTTTGAAAGAATAGCTTTGGACATTGCTGGGCCATTTCCAGAAAGTGATAATGGAGGCAAGTATATGTTGGTAGTAATGGATTACTTCACTAAGTGGGTCGAGATTTACGCACTTCCAGACCAGAAGGCGGCCACCGTTGCAGATAAGTTGATCCAAGAATATATCAGCCGATTTGGAGTGCCTTTGGAGATCCATAGTGACCAAGGCAGGAACTTCGAAAGCGATCTATTCCAAGGGATATGTGATAGACTAGGTATGAAGAAAACAAGAACTACGGCTTATCATCCGCAATCGGATGGTATGGTAGAACGGATGAATAGAACAGTTGGCAAGTATTTGACAAAGATGGTGTCCGATCATCAGCGAGACTGGGACCAATATCTTCCGTTCTTCACAATGGCCTACAGATCTGCTGTTAATGAATCAACAGGCCAGACACCAGCCAGAGTCCTATTCGGACGCGAGATGCGACTACCTTGTGACCTAGAGTTTGGGTGTCGACCTGGAGAAGATGTAGCAGATGAAGATTATGTGATCGAATTACGAAGAAGAATGGATGATGTACACGAGTTGATCCGTTCCCATCTCCAGATCGCTAGTGACCGAATGAAGAAACGGTACGATACGCAAGCCGAAAAGGGGTGTTTTAAGAAGAACGACAAAGTCTGGCTTTATAATCCCAAAAAGCGAAAAGGTACCTCATTATGGAAAAGATCAATGATGTCATTTACCGAATAAGCAACATTCCGAGGGGAAAGCCGATGATAGTACACCATATCCGGCTGGCGTCTTTCGAAGGTGACCACGACGTAGATGAAGAAGTGGAAGTAAACCAAGTCCAAGATGTGTCTGACCTCACGTTTGAGGAATTCATGGGTGCCTATGGAGGTACCGGTAAAGCAAGACATGGTGTTACCACTGAAGAAAAGCAAGATCTACTCGCGCTTCCCGATGACTACTCACTGGCCCTTACCATCCCGGCCAGTATCAAAGACGCACCAGGGTTGACATCCGTCTTTTCGAAGGAAGTTCGGTCGAGTTGCAGAACTTCAATGCCAAGTGCCAGCTCCCGGAAAAGCCTTAAAACTTCAAGATGCATCACGTTACCTTTTCTACCTGGTAACAAAAGACACTGCCCGTGACTAACCTACCTACCGAGATGTATGGGAAGCCTTACTTCAGTTGAGAGATCACGTACTAGAGTCCGACGTGCAAAAGTTACCCATGCCAAAGTTGGAGTGCCGCCAATTAGATTGGAGGGTTATACGAAATATGGTGGAGGAGATCTTTAAAGACACCGAAGTCCAGGTGTTAGTCTGTTGCAATCCGCATAGTTCCTAGTGCGGGGAGAAAACCGTCCCTTGTCATTTTTATACAACTGAAAGTTGTAAAAGAGGGTCCAGTTGCCGATACCAGCATGCCGTTCCAGTTCCAGTCCCGACAAGGTTCCAGGAGGAACCATCTTTTAAGAGGGGGGCAATGTTATGATAAATTGTGATAAGTTGTTTACTGTTACGATAAATTCTGACTCAAAATTGTAAATATATGGTGACTAATTATTTTCTATTTGTAGTAATTCCGGCGCTCATACCTGTTACCTACCGACAGAAAATACTAGACCCTTCTACAAGAAAGGTCGAATATTCAGGTAACCATAATGCAGTCGACGGCCGAGAATGACTCACCTAATGGATGGAACGATCGATGCCTAGCCAGATGTCTCTAGATAACGGCATTTGATGTATAAATAACGATGATTCTCATTGAGGGGAGTCAGTGTAGAAAGAAGCCCCGCGAACCGCGATTTAAATTGTATCGAACGTAAATAAATTATTTGTAATATAAATTAGGATTAATAAAGACTTTAATAAATTAGTAATAAATTATCGTGAGTTTTAATAAATTAGAGTAAAGACAATAAATTAGAATAAAGAACTATAAATTAGAACTAATACAATTATAACATTACTATTAACTATCAACTGTTTAAATTAGAAAATTGTTTACTATAAATTACTATTAATTAATAAAACAACATTTAATATTCATAACTCCAAAAAATGTACTACGAAATGTAAGGATTAAACATTAAATTTAGGCTTTAATTACAATATGAACGCTTTGGCTTATTGCAACTCTGTATAACAGATCTTAAATTCCTATCAGGTGCATAAGCGTGTTTATGTTTTTTTGCCTTAGTGTCAGCATTTGGATTAAAGCTGCAATATGGGAAACAGAAAGTAGAACAGAACAAGATAGCTTCTATTTCAAGGACAGCTTTTAAGTCTAATAATACAAGAAAAATATCATATGAATTACAAAATAACAAGAAATTATCATTTACTTAAATTTTCTGTGGGGGCGATTTTTGTTCATCAAATTACTGTTATTACCATTATGTATTACTAGGTATTACATTGATAAATTGAATAAATGATGTTTAAATTAAATTTTTAGTTATTGTTTTCTTTTCAAAATGATCATGGGGGCTCTAATATGAAAGATGCTAAAAAGAGGCGATTTCGTTTTTTTTTGCTCTTCGCCATGGGGTAATATCAACTTACACAAAAATATTTTTGGGTAATAATTAAAAAAGTTCCCCGAACACTGCTATAAATTGTCAAAATGATAAGTGCTTTTACATTGAATAAATTGTATATGAATTAAGAGTTTATATCACATTTTGAGCAATATTTTTTAATATTTGTCTTACCTGAGTGATCTTTTTGTTCTATTTCAATTTTTAACTCTTCAAGATCAATTGAGGTCGACAGCTGATTCTCCTGATATATAAGATCATTTTTCTCAAATTTTTCTCTAATTTCACTGTTTACTTCCATAACTATAAATAAATGAAAAAAATTATATATTATTATCTATATATTAAATACACGAAATTGCTCATATTATTTATTGTGTTATTATATAAATATTTATTAAAGTGAATACTTCTTTATGATTATTGGTAACTAAATTAACATTGGTAACTATAATTGAGCAACAGTTATCTTACATGAAAAGGATGGTAGACAAAACAGTATCCAACTTAGGAATAACACTTGCAAACAGATTTTATTACACCTTACCATTGTCCATTATCTAACAAGAACTCAAAGACAAAGCAATACAAAACCTTAATACTCACAGTTCTAATGTATGGATCTCAGACATAGATGCTTGCTAATATATATCAAAACAGAAAATATTTGAGAGAAAAATGAATGCTACTCTGCCTCTATACAATATATTGACAAAACCTAATGAGACAATGTGGCAGATCAAAGTGAAGATAAACAGATGGTATGGGTAAGGTTACCAGAAAAATTGGTGTTGCAAAGTGCCAACATAGTAAAAACAATATATCTGAATAACGAAATATGTTTAGAAAGGTCTAGGTCAATTAGGGCTCCAATGATGATGAAAATGATTCTTTTTACAGAAGTTAAGATTAACTGAAATTTACTGTCAACGTTAAACCACAATTGCCTCAGAAAGTATTAACATATGGTATATAGAATCCTACTAGAGTTTAAAAAACAATTTATTGTTTATGTCACTAGTCATAAAAGGATGTTTCATTTAAAAATATTTACTGCCGTGGTTAGAATTTAAAAAGGCATGCCCATTTGTAAATACCTTATAGTTAAAAATCAAATTCTTATATGGTTTTCTGAAATAATATTATCTGCCCTTTGTGTACACATTTTACAGTTTTTTATGATATAGTATTTATAAATAGATGAGGTAATGATATTCAAAATTTTGTCTCTATAAAAATTTAACAAAGAGAAAAAGAGAAGATATCAAAGATGATAGTGACCAACATTTTAGATGTGAAGGTAAAACACAAAGTAGATCATCACTGCAGTGCTACAACCCTTAAAGGATTTCGACCTTCTCAAGCTTTCTTCACTATAATTCTGCTCTTTCCCTTGCTTGCATTTTAAAGTTAGCAACACTGATCTTCTCAGAATTCGGTGTCTATACACCTCAACTTTGGTCTACCTCATCATCTCATTTCTACCAGTTGCTCTGTGAAAACCTTTTTTTTATCATATTTGATTCCAGTGCTTGGGCTACATGTTCTAACCACTGCAGATGGTTTGGCTTGAATATAGTGGCAATATTGTTTCCACCAAACTTATGCTTGTAGATATTCCATAGTTATATCCCAAGTTATATCCATAGTTATATCATCAGCATATGCTAGAATTTGGACTTATCTATTAAATATAGTTGCCTTGCTATAAATTTGGCCTTATGGCTCTATAACAAATGTCAGGCCACATTAAAATCGTCAAAACAACAATGGTACACACACACACACAAATATATTTACATATATAAATATATATATATATATATATATATATATATATATATATATATATATATATATATATATATATATATAAATATAATATATATATATATATAAATATAATATATATATATATATATATATATATATATATATATATACTAATACTCTCATAAGAATACTTCAATTACTCATGCAAGATGTTTGAAAATATCTTGTATACTGTATTTAGGTGAGTTATTCCACTGTAATCATTACATTCTAGTTGGCTCCCCTTTTTGTGTAATAGGCATATTAAGCCTAAGCTTCATTTCTCATGCATTTGCCCATCAGAAATAACTCTGCTGGGATGACATCCCTGCCTGGGGATTTGTGGTTTTTTAGTTTTTTTTAACAAAATTTTCACTTCGACCTAGGTGGTTCCACAAATTCTTTATTTTGGGTACTTTATTTCTGTTGTTGGTAGGTTCCTTTTCCAGCTTCTGTCAAAAGTGTCTAACTCATCATAACAGGATAATACCAACATTTTAGATGTGAATATAAACCATGAAGTAGATAACATACTTATATAGGGAACTATATTTTCTGATATGAGACATGTGTCTAAACCTTATTCACATTGCACATTCTCAACACAAACAGCATGAAAAGTATGTGTTCTGATGGTAATTACCTTCTCATTTGCCAAGAGGCTATTAAACATGATTTATCGCCATGAGCGAGCATGATTGTCATTTTAGAGGTCCAAACTGCTCAATCGGTTTATATAAAAATTGTAGTGTGTTGGTTTACTTATATATTCTGTGGTTTAATAAATTTTGTATTTTGTAACATTATTTTTGAGTTATTTACTGGTTATGTTGTTTTTTTATAAGTTTTATGGTGTATAGTAAATGTTTAGTATCCAAAAACAAAGTATTTATCCAATTACTTGGGTAAAGGTAAGAGAAACCAATATTTTAATTTATTGATGTTTTGAAAAGTTTTATTTCCTTTTCACATGGCTGAGATAAAAAAAAATATGGGTTTTGAAGACTCAATGTCAAAAGTGCAACTGTTAGCTATTGTTAAGCAACATAATGGACAATATAACAAATAGGGGAGACCGGGGAGAGTTCGGACACAGGGAGACATCGGACACATTTGAATTTCGCACATTTTTGAAGATGCACTGTTGTCATTTGGTAAACACAACCTTATTTGTACATAATTATAGGTTATGTATTGACAGCTGTGATTTCGGTCGTAGTCACAGAGTTATCTATTGTGAAGTGTTTTGTCGAGTTTTGTTCTAAAAATATTGGTGCAATCCAGAAGATATATTTTAAAATACATAGACTTACCACGTATAAAACTTTGGTGCTGTAATCTACTATACTTATTTCATTAATTTGCGTTTATGTTGTTGCAATATTTAGGTAAGTTTTTTTATAAACCCATTGTATTACCAATGTTTGCATTAGGGGAGAGTTCGGACACAGTGTCCGAACTCTCCCCTGTGTGTCCGAAGTCTCCCCTGATCTGTAGTTATTCTATTTTTCTCTTACAGCTCATAATGCCCCGTACATATACAAGGTAACAGAACGACAATTTTCTGCAGACACTATGAAAAATGCCACATCAGAGGTGCTTGACGGCAAATTGAGCATTCGGAATAGCGCCAAAACCTACGGCGTTCCTAAATCTAGTCTTCTAGATTACATAAAGAAAGCTAGAGCTGTGGGTATAGACAACGTAACATTCTCTCCAAATTTCAAGCAATCTCAAGTGTTTACCGATATAATGGAAAAAATGCTTGAAAAATATTTATTAGATTGTTCTTCCATGTTTCATGGACTAACGCCTAAAGCTGCAAGACGTTTAGCTTTTGAATTTGCCAAGAAAAACCATGTTAAAATGCCTACTACATGGAGCGAAAATGAAGAAGCTGGAACAGACTGGTTTTCAGGTTTCATGAAACGTCATCCTGTACTATCTATTAGAACACCTGAAGCCACTAGTCTCGCTAGAATGACGAGTTTTAACAAAGTTACTGTTGAGACGTTTCAAAATAAATTAGAAGAAGTTTTACGTCGTCATTCTTTTGGATCTTCAGCGATTTTCAATTTAGATGAAGTGAGTCAATTAACAATTTTGTTTAGTTATTTTGATAATTAATATCACTTATTTTTTAGACTGGGTTACTACAGTTCAGCGTGTACCTAAAATAATTGGAAGAAAAGGTCAACATCAAATAGGGCAGGTGACCTCACGTGAACGTGGAGAATTAGTTACACAGGTGGGCATAATTTCTGCTGATGGAAAAGCATTGCCCCCTATATGGGTATTCCCACGGCAACGTTTTGATGAAAACCGCATGATGAAAGGGGTTCCTCAAGTTGCTTTAGGATTAGTATCTCCTTCAGGATGGATGACAAGTGATAATTTTTTGAAAGTACTTAAACATGTTGTCAAAAATACACTCTGCTCTGATACTAATAAAATTTTACTAATCATGGATAACCACGAGTCCCATCTCTCAGTGGAGGGACTTGATTACTGCAAAGAAAATGGAATTACTGTTTTGACACTACCATCTCATACTTCTAATAAGTTACAACCTTTGGACCGAACAGTGTTTGGTCCTTTCAAAAAGTTTTTTAATGATGGTGCTAATTCCTGGATGTTGTCTAATCCTGGTCAGACACTTTCTATATATGACTTGCCTGCTATTTGTTCTTCTGCTTGGGACAGAGCTGCCAATCCAGTTAATATTAAAAGTGGTTTCAAGTGTACAGGTATTTGGCCTTTTGACAGAATATATTCAGAGAAGAAGAGTTCTTATCTTCTTACGTGACAGATAGACCAATGCCTACTACAGAACCGGAACTCGGAAAAAGAGATTTTGATAGCTTGTCCAAACCGGGGCCAAGCAAAGTTTTAGTTTCTCCGAGTCACTCAACTTCTCCAAACATCATTTCTCCAGAAATGGTTAGACCGTTTCCCAAGGCGCCAGAACGTAAAACATCAAATAGAGGCAGGCCTAAGGGCAAATGTATCATTGCCACGGATACTCCAGAAAAAGACGAAATTGCCAACAGGAAACTAAAACGATCTGTTACAAGGAAAGTAAATCCTAAAAAAAGACAGAAAGTCACTAAAAAAATTGTTGAAACATCTTCTTCTTCTTCCTCTGAAGACATAATGAGCAATGAAGAATCCTCTGACTTCATAGAGCAAGATGACGAAGTGGATACAGAAGAAACAAATATTGCAAATGGTCACTTTATAATTGCCAGAGTTTATGGAAAAACACCAGCTACATTTCGGCACTATGTTGCAGAAATTCAGGAAAAACAGATAAAAGGATACGACGTAAAATTTTATAAAAAACATGCCACTTCTAATCGGTTTATCTCCACTGAAGAAGATGCTTTTGTTATATTTGAAGACATAAAATGTATTTTACCGAAGCCCTTGAAAGATACACGTCAAAGATATGAAAATATGATCTATTTTAATACAGATTTAGAAGATTATTCATTGCATTAATTTTTTAATATCTAAACATGTCTATTTTTTTTAAATACATTTTTATAAGTAACATATGTTGTACTGTCCGAAGTCTCCCAGTACTGTCCGAAGTCTCCCAGTTCCTAGTCCGAAGTCTCCCCGTTTGTGGGGAGACTTCGGACAAATGACCCCCTGCAATATTTTTTTATTTTTGTTGTTAATTTATTGATTTGATATATTCTGCTCTTGATTGGTTATGCCTGAACCTTGGAAGCTTAAGTTAACTACTTTAAAAGGTAAATATATCAATACACTTTTCTAATAAAAATTAATTTTTAAAAATGGTCCGAACTCTCCCCGGTCTCCCCTACATTATTGATAAGATGGCAAAAGCTGCCTCCTTACCATTGTGAGCTCAATGTGATTGAACTTGACATTGACATCAAAAATATTTTTTGACGCAATAAATAATTAAATAATAATTAAAGGCATAAATGCCATGTAGTTGGACTACATAATAGATACCAATATCAAATTAATAATACTAAATTCAGACGAAGAAAGTTGCACATGTAGCTGCTCAGACTCTAAATAATTTAAATGGTATGCTTTTATGTTTTGAAAAACTTATGATGATATATTTTAGGCAAAATACTTTGTTATGTATATCTCAGTTAGTGAATATTTTATTTTATTTTATTTCACATGCCATTGTTTATCATTGGGAATATGTAATTTGAATGAACTGTAGGGAATTACAAATTTTAAGATTTAAGACATTTTTATTATCAGAGATAGGTCTAAGACGCCTTTCAGACGAGGATACTGTATCCTAGATACGTGTATCCAAGATGCAGATATTGCATAGACTCAAATGGAGCTTTTCACACGGGACGCGCGATGGATACAGTATATGAGATACCGAATGCATATGCCACATACAGAAGAAACATTATGTTAAATGAACGCTTTCAGACACAGATTCTGTATATCGCATACAGTATCTCACATACAGTATCCTCAATATTGTTCTGAAGCTATTTTCTTGTGGCATTTTAAATTAATTACTATTTAACTGGAATAAGCCACAATTAAAGATAAAAACACGTTTATTGACGTTTAAATTTCCACTTCAGAAATCATTCTCAAAATACAAATAGTGTATTTTGAGAAATACACTAATAAACACTATTTGTATTTTGCGAACGATTTCCAAAGTGGAAATTGAAACGTCAATAAACATATTTTTATCTTTAATTGTGGCTTATTCCCAGTTAAATAGTAATTAATTACAGTATCCTCGTCTGAAAGCCCTCTAATGTAGGATAAACGAGAAACCTTTTGTATTAAGTGAATTTGAATTTTGGAGGTTAAGTATACAACACTTTTTTGAACTTACTTTTATTTCCTGTCTCAAGTGAATATTTGTCTGATTCATCCTTCAACTCTGTGAGATCTAATTCTGTGGATAGCTGACTGGCGACGTATCTTTGATCATAGTCATGAAACTCTTCCTTAACTTCAATTTTAACTTCCATAATTATTAAATTCCGAAAAAGAAAATATTAACACTATGTTCGGGGACCGGCCTCCAAAGAGCAATTGCCAGTTTACAGTTTGTCACACCTAGGCTAGTTGCTCGCACAGGTGGTTGCTCTTCTAAGCTAGTCTCGGAAGTGTCAGCAAACACAGAGCAACAATCCAAAGGATTTTTACACAAACACAATATAACACACAAACAAAATATTAGTTGCATAAAAAGTTCCTTCCAAACCAGAAATTTATATCAATTGATAGCACTTCAGTTAATGATTAATGGGACAATTTTCACAATTGGCCCCATTGAAGATAGCCTCAAATTAGCTGTCAATTAAGTTTCACAGAACGAAATATTGCGTTGGCAGTGTTGCCATGTTCTTATAATGTATATGTTATATGCTTCAAATACAAAGAGATAAAGCTTTTAAAGGTACATTTTTATCATATTATTTTATGGATTCTGCAATTTTATACCTTATATACAATATTAATGAAGTAATATTTGTTTCGTTTGATATGAGTTGTAATAAATTATTAGAAATTTTTTTTGGCAATTGCTCTTTGATATGTTAGCGGATAGATTTGGCAATAGAGTCAGAACCATCGAGCAATCAAGACAAAAGAGGGAACCTAATCGTTATGAAAAGGAGACCAAAAAAGTGGCCTCTGGCTCTGACAATGACGTATAATATATAGACTACGCAGTCCCCTATTCTCGCTATAGAATCGAGTGTCCGAAAGATCTCGGCTCAAGGTTGAAGGTATGTTTATCACAACAGCGGCGTGTTCATTTATATGTTTAATGACAATAATTATTTTTTTAATTAAAATTAAATATTTATGATTTCCTTTTGCTCCCGTCTATAAGAGAACTAATTATATTGATAAAATAGTATGGCATTTTACTAAAATAGTAAGTAAATAACTCTCAACAATTTAAAATAAAATTTGCTTGTCACACAAAATGGAGAAAATGTTTTCATACGTCCATGATGTTTTCAAACACAAGATCAACTTCGTGATGCTTCGTAAGAAATCATGAACTTCGTGCATCTTCGTATCAAAACAATAAACAATAACAAAGGTATTCATGTTTTGGACACTTTTTAAAGCGTTCACCGAGTCTATATATTATACGTCATTGGCCTCTGATGGCGGACATATCCGGAAATGCAAATGCGCCAAATTTAAATTTCATGACACTTGACAATAATCATACAGTGGTGTAGGGGTTCTAATTTATCTATTTATTTATTTTATATTACATAATATTGTATATTATCTATTTATTTATTAAAAAACTTTTTTTAACACTAGAACACAATAAAGTTTTAATTAATTAATAACGATAATAGTCTAAAATGTTAAACAACTGTTGAAAAACTTCAATAGAAAATATAAATAAGCTTTCATGTGACAGTTTTGACAAACAATAACATCAACAATAACATAACCCAACTAAATTTGATTTCTTAAACAAGGAAAGAGATTCTCTTTCTTTGTTTAAAGTGGCCTCTCAAAATAGCACTTCCTGTCTATCAATATGTTTACCCCCACTACCTTTACATTCCCTCTTTTGTCTTATTGCTCGATGGTCAGAACCCTCAAACAACCAGCTGCCAGATTGCAACAGATGCCTTTTAAATTTTATTATTTATGCTGACATTTTACTATTTACTGTTAAAAACTGTTTTAAAACTATTTACTTTTTCTTTTTTTCGTAATCGTTACATATTAGTTTTTAAATATCTTATTGCTTTTAATTGCGTATGTTTTATTTGTAATATAAATTTCAACACTGCAAAACGCCAATATTTCATTCTGTCAAACCCATTTGAAGCTAACTTCAATGGGACCAAATGTGAAAATCGTCTGATTAATGTAAAGTACCTTATATCGAGAGCTTGTTAACTTCCATGTTTTTTTTGAGCAATGACTTTGTTGATGCCATAGATAAATAATGTCCATGCTTTGTTGGGTGGTGGGTGCTCTAAATCGATGGCTCTAAACCACCCAGAGATATGTAAGAGAGGGGATATGACACAAACGATATTTCTGCATTTAATAAATGGGACCACTTATTTTGACTGATTGTCTACACCAATATGGCGGCGGGCAGGTCCGGATTCAAATTAATTCAAACTGTATTTACGATTTACTGTTAAGTTTGGGAATAAGCATTGGGTTACATTAATAATAGTTATTTGTAATAAAATTACTTTCATTTTTAGTACTTTTCAAGTGCACTTTAATAATAATAATAAAATTTATTACATACATAAAGTTTTAAAAAATGTACAAAACTAGTCAATGATATGGTTTTAAAATTATAACATTTACAATTAGCAAGTAAAAAACAACGGACGGACGTGACGGACTGGCTCCAACACTTTTTAATCTTGTTCTTTAATATGTAATTAGACGGTTGACGGTGAGCAGAAATAACATACTTATAAACAAATCTACCCAATTAGCAGCATACGCAGATGACATAAACATAATGAGCAGAACAAAGACTGCGGCAGAAGAAACCTACGTTCAGTTGAAACAGAGTTCAGAAGTTGTAGGGCTAACAATAAATACAAATAAAACAAAACTACTCATACAAACCAGATCAAATAGACAGGCGCAACAACAACAATTTATAGACGATATAGAATACGTGAATAGATTCACGTATTTAGGAATGGATCTGGTCGAAAATAATGAAGAAGAACCGGAAATAAATAGAAGGCTTATGCTGGCAAACAAAGCCTATTTCGCGATGGGCCACATATTCAAATCGCGAGACGTACACCGGAAAACAAAACTCCGGGTATATAAAACAATAATCCGACCCATAGTAAGTTATGGGTGTGAAACATGGGTTATAACACAGAAATCTACCAATGCATTAGACGTGTTCGAAAGAAAAATATTGCGTAGAATACTGGGTCCAATAAAGGAAAATAACAACTGGCGAATTAGATATAATAACGAAATATACGACAATACACTGAACCAACACTAGCACAATACACTAGACTGCAGAGATTACGATGGGCAGGGCATGTGGCCCGCATGCATGAGAACAGAATCCCCAGAAAATTACTAAACGCAAGAATGCAAGGAAAAAGACCTGTTGGAAGACCAAAAAAGAGATGGGAAGACGAGGTAGATGAGGATGCCAAAAATCTCCTAAAAACGCGTTCATGGAAAAGAACAGCAGTAAATAGAGATGTTTGGAGAGGTTTAATGAAGGAGGCCAAGGCCCGGCTTGGGCTGTAGTGCCATTGGATGGATGGAAGTAAAAAACAACAATTAGCAAGTGCACTTACTTAAGTTTATATACATTTAGAAATGTTAGTTCCATGTAGTATTAATAAAATTAGTTATTGTGTATAGGTAGGTAGTTAAAGAATTGTATCAAAGACATGTCGTGATCTTTATCTTTTTAACTTATTGTGGTTTCTATGGTTATGTAGATATAAATATATAAATATGTAGAAATTATCAGGTATAGTGGTTATTAAAAATCTTTGTTTTTTCTAAAGAAACTGAATATTTCGCCATTTATTTTATATCTTCATCAGGAGTACACTGTAAAACAATTTTAAAATTTCTAAAATGGCGTAAAAATACAATTTGGCACAGGCGATAACTACAAAAGTAGATTATTTCTTGAGATGTATCACATCAACAAAAATGAAAACACTTTAAATTATAAAACAGGCACTGTCCAGTTTCCGTTTACTGTTAATTGTAATATATTAAACAAAATTTATAAATATTGAAAATAGCTAATATTCACCTTCATAACAACCAACCATTTATTTTATTGTGTGTTATAAATGTTGAGTGTAAATGCTTATATAAATAATCTCAACGACTAGTAAGTTACACTGAAGAATTGTGATATTTTTTAAATATTTACATTTTTGTCTTATTACAGTGTCTTGAAAAAGGAATAAAACCATTCTGAAAGCTCGACAAAAAAGTCAAAAGAGTGTTTTTTTTAACATCCCGGCCAATATTCTGACTGCAACCCTAATAAACTGTGTTATTTGTATATATATATATATATATATATATATATATATATATATATATATATATATATATATATATATATATATATATATATATATATATATATATATATATATATATATAAAAATTAATATTTCTTGGGTTAGGTTCAATAAAGATATATTACATGTGGAACTAGATTTTATTTTCCATTGCAATTAATCAACGTTTCGGCAGGAAACCCTTGCCTTTGTCAAGATTCAAAACGTAAAACGTGACACAGACATTAAACGAACTGTTTGTACGTTCTTGACGTACGTACGTGACACAGACATTAAACGAACTGTAAGTTCGTTTAATGTCTGTGTCACGTTTTACGTTTTGAATCTTGACAAAGGCAAGGGTTTCCTGCCGAAACGTTGATTAATTGCAATGGAAAATAAAATCTAGTTCCACATGTAATATATCTTTATTGAACCTAACCCAAGAAATATTAATTTTATATTAAATATAATACGGTTCAAAGAAACTCAAAACTACTATATATATATATATATATATATATATATATATATATATATATATATATATATATATATATATATATATATATATATATATTATAAGGATCACTCAGGCAAGTGGTGGGTTCTTATATCAGTCTCAAGGTGGAGAAATAAAAGGCAAAGTTGATAGGCTACTTTATTTTTAGACGTTTCGCTTTCGTATGTGAAACATACGCTTTCGTGATGTAACAACTGCTGTTGTACATCAATAAAAAATGTCAAATGGTACATATTTGTCCAAGAATTGTCAAAACAAAAATGTGTTTAATTATTAACTAGTACTTTATACAAAATATCAAGAACCTTCTAGTTGAAATATCTTTGTTCACACCTATACAAACTTATTTATTTGCAAATGAAAGCCTGTGAAATGTACAATTGAAGTTGTATACAAAGTACTGTGTAATGTACAGGTGTAATTCAGAATATTACCTACATTATTGTAATAACCTACTTCATTTATAAGTATCTATAATTATTGTTACCTGAGATTCATCAATTGTAGGGATTGCATTCTCAAGCAAACGGACAAAAGCTAACGAGGTCCTATCTATACAGTCCTCCGCAAAATGTTTGGAACACAATTTGCTATGTTTTGATGGTTCCCAGTTCCCACACTATATACAAACTGTATCCAGGCATTTATCTTTTCAACATCTTTAGAAAATCTACAACCACATAAACCAAATTAAAAAGATTACCTGTTCTTTTTACACGCAGCATCACTAAAAACGGAAGTAATA